TATATATAACATGTATACACACTTTTATATTGCATTCAACATGCTCATAACATATGGCAGAGAAAAAATACTTAATATTTTTATTGAACTGCAACATATGCTACCAAATCTACATTTAGTCTCATATGAAGTGTGAGATTAAAATGAGTTTTGATATCCTTCAGCTTAATCAATAATTCAATTCATTATGCAACATTCTGTTTTACAACCAAGACTTTGAATGCATTTAAAAGCAAATTATTCTCATCTTCTTTGAAATCTGGAACAATAAATCTATATATATCGGAAAATATTAAAATATTCTTCATGTTGCAAATATTATTTTGTATTCATTTACCACACTACTTATGTATAAGAACACTGATGAAACATTTTTAATATTAATGTAGTTTCAATATCACATCAGTTGCATAATGCCTGACAGAGGAAGTGTATAGACTTTTGCATATATATACCTATATATGCAAAAGTAAAGCTTCGTCAAAGCCTGGAGGACCTTCACAATATACTTTTGCATATATATACATATATATACCACTCTGAATACTTTCCGTACCCACTGTATATATATATATGTGTGTGTTTGTTTGTATGTATGTATGTGCGTATATATATGTGTATATATGTGTATGTATATATATATATATATATATATATATATACACCTTGCTACGTGTACTGCGTTAGGCTAACCGAGACTTGTCATTTGCACTTATATATTGTTGCTCTTTTGTTAGTTTTGACTGCTTTTATTGTCCTCATTTGTAAGTCGCTTTGGATAAAAGCATCTGCTAAATGACTAAATAAATAAATAAATAAACCCTTAAAGTGAAGAAATATTGATGATTGTGTTCTATTTCTAGTACAGTCTCCCTAGACATAACCGAGTGTGGCTGACTTGATCGAGCATCTAAAGACCTTCAACGCGCTCAAAAACAAGGGAACATTTTCTGCCAGACTGCCTCCTGTCTCCACCCTCGCTATGACATCAACCCACAATGCACCGCACTGTTTGCCGTTTACTCTGCGTCTCCGCGGCGACAGCGACGAGTGCGGCCCCTTTATGCAAACGAAACCGGAAGAGGACGTCATCTTTGGCCAATCTCAGCGCTCTAAAGTGACATAATGGAATTTTTAGGGATAGAAAACTTGCAAATGCGTACTGACGCCCATAGATAACACCCCTCGAGGAGAGAAGCAAGGATATCATAAAACAATATCATAAATCGATTAAAAAAAAAACAAACGTTCGCGGCAAGAATTAAGAATATTAAAGATCATCTAAATGACTCGTTTGGACAGCCGACCCAGCTCAGCCCTCAGTCGGGTGTAGGATGGGAACAAGCCTTTACCCAGACGAGGACATACGAGGAATATCACGCATTATGATGAAGAAAGACATGAGTTTGAACCTAAACGACCAGAACAGCTCCAACCTCAAGCCAGATCTGAGGGATGCTGAAGGGATTCTCAATTCACCCGACATGGGGCTCCTCAAGCTGGCTTCTCCGGAGCTGGAGAGGCTGATCATCCAAGCCAACGGGATGGTGACCACCACGCCGACCTCCCAGTTCGTCTACCCGAAGTCGGTGAGCGACGAGCAGGAGTTCGCGGAGGGCTTCGTCAAAGCCCTGGAGGACCTTCACAAGCAGAACCAGCTGAGCGGCGGCGCGTGCGTCCCTCCGACGCTCAACAGACTCGCCAGCAGCACCGCGCTCGCCTTGCCCACGGATCTGCCCGTGTATACGAACTTGAGCGCGTACGGGAGTACCACGGTGAACTATTCCACGGACACCATTCCGTTCCCTCCGCCGCCGCCGCCGGCGCTAAGAGACGAGCCGCAGACCGTTCCAGACATGCAGATCTTCGGCGACAGTCCTCCGCTCTCCCCCATCGACATGGACACGCAGGAGCGCATCAAGGCCGAGAGGAAGAAGCTGCGCAACCGCATCGCCGCCTCCAAATGCCGCAAGCGGAAACTAGAGCGGATATCCCGGCGCCAATCCAAACTGTATGCTAATTGTCAATCATCTTTGACGATAGTGGTCCTGACAGAACTTGTATTTAAGCACTACTGGAACGCTGAATTGACCAATCATCAATCATTTAATATTTTTTATATTGGCCTATACAACAGTTAGTTCTCTTACACTAGTTTAATGGCGCAAGCAGTATTTCTAAACACTGTATCACTAGCTTGTTGACAGCTTCTTCTGGAACTGTTTTCTTTGGCAGAACAACAGCAAAATGACTGGCTATATAATGTCAGTTACTCAATATGAATGGCTGTATAAAAGCAATATCACATATCATATTGCTTAAATACATGTACGAGTGCATCAAAACCCGCAGTGTTGGTGATGAAGTGAATTCATATCAGCTGTCTGTGTGCTGAAACATTATTCTGAGCTCAACGACCCATTCACTGATGCATAAAGGTCACAGACTGATCTCTCCCTTCCAGTGGCCGTTCGTTCTGGTTGGACTGTTGAAATGGACACTACAGGTGCTGATGTATTATATGTTTACAATATTTTGTAGCAAACGGACTGTGTGCTACATGGTTTGATCTCATGAGAGAAGCAGCTGTATTTTGCATGCTCCAGACAAGCTCCAAATGAGTGCAACCAAACACAACAAAGATGTCATGCATGTATGCTTCATGTCCAAGGCCTTATTAATCAACGACTGTATCCATTTTATATACAACTACTCACACAATGTCTTATTTTATGCTCTTTTGGATTTACGTGTGTCGTGTTGTAAATGTAAACGTTTCACCTGTCACACGTCCTGTACTGCCTTGTGTGTACATTAATGTCATTAAACCTGTTCAATTCACCTGTTAAATTATATATTTGTGGCAATTTTATAACCCCTTTGTTCCTGCATACATACATAGACCTTGAACATTTGTAGAACAAGCAGTGAATGGGTGCCGTCAGAATGAGAGTCCAAACGCAGTTAATGTCTTGAGAAGAGAAAAACTGTGTGTTTGTAAGAAACAAATCTATCATTAAGACGTTTTTAACTTCAAACTGTTGCTTCTGGCTAAAATACAGAGAAACAAACTCATCTACATCTTGTAGATGTAAATTTTCATCATATTTTCATTTTTGAGAGAACTCCTTTAGCAAAGGCCTTTAGATAAAAACATCTATAAAATAATAAAAATCCAGTCCATTCTGACTGAAAGCATTTGAGTGGCAATACATGAGAACATACATACATTATATACACATGTAAATACAGTATATATATATATATATATTTACCATACTGGTAAAAATGTATAGACTGGATGCATTGTAAGTCGCTTTGGATAAAAGCGTCTGCTAAATGCATAAATTATAAATGAATATATATCATTATATACATACATTATATATTAGTGCTGGGCAACGATTAATCACGATTAATCGCATCCAAAATAAAAGTTTTTGTGTACATAGCATATGTGTGTGTACTGTGTATATTTATTATATACATTTTAAATAAATACACACACATGCATGTATATATTAAAAAAAATGTCTTGTTTATATATTAAATATAATACACACACGCACACGTATATACTGTTTATAATTTTTTTTTAAGTTGTTTGTAAGAAAATACTATTAAATACTAAAATAAAAAATGGTAAACTTCACGTTTAATTTAACAGGTTATTTGCGGTTTCTTTGTAATTATATGTGAAATTTACTAGCAATTTGAGTTCAAATTTTATATTAAATCCTATATTAATGTTCTGTATTAAAGGTGACATATCATGAAAATCTGACTTTTCCAGGTTTTAAGTGCTTGTAATCAGGTCCCCGGTGCATCTACCAACCAAGCAAATGTGAAAAAGATGAACCCAGTCACTTTGTTTTGGTAAGACTTTTTCTGCAAGCGTCTGAGAAAACGAGCGCGTCTGATTTAGCTCCCTTGGTGACGTGCCAAAGGGATCTCATTATACTATTACCGCCCCTTAATCTGTAAACTTCCACTCAAGGCACCGTCATTTTGATTTCGCAAGCGACAACGGTATACTAGTTCTAATGCCATGGAGAAAGTTTGAGCAAAACATTCTGTGTTTGGCTGCACAGACGAGCACAGAACAGTTTAGAGTCCCAGCCTCAGAGGAGACAACAGAGCAGTGGATTTATTGATTTATTTACTGTATATTGCTGCTGCCACACAGATCTAAAATAAACATGCGATTTATTTCCCAGCTGTTTACCTTCACAGACATAACCCACTGTTTTTGTAACTCATGTTTTTAACGTAAACTTGTGTGTGAACGAGAACTTGGTTTAGTGCTCACATGCTGTGACAGCCGCTTTCTGTCCGTGTGCACATTTAGAAAACCGTATATCAGAAGTTTAAACTAATATGGCTTAAAACGCACGATTTCAGCACGATAAACATGATAATCAGAACCAAAACAGATGTTTTT